ACACTGACACAGCCCAGTCACAGGGCTCTAGACTCTCACAGTCACTCTGGAGTCCAGTACACTGACTATGTGCAACTTCATTTTAATCTAAGTGAGCAAGAGTCACAAAGGGTGGCAGGAGCAGTAAACAATCTGCTCAGCCACAATGAGACCCTGGTGTCCTACAAGAGACAGCTGGAAATGGTCCTCTGATCAATTAGCTACAGACCACAAAAACTGTCCGGAAGTGCCGAATGGCCTCTCGTATGTGTCCTGCCTTCTTGAGTCGGCGGCTGCATCACCAGCGGCGCTCTGCCTCTCCGGCTGTCCCCGCAGGTGGTGGACATCATGCGCGTGAACGTGGACAAGGTCCTGGAGCGCGACCAGAAGCTGTCGGAGCTGGATGACCGGGCCGACGCGCTGCAGGCCGGGGCCTCGCAGTTCGAGACCAGCGCTGCCAAGCTGAAGCGCAAGTACTGGTGGAAGAACCTGAAGGTGAGGGGAGCCACTGTGGCAGGTGATAGCTGATATAATAATAATAAAGCCTTACACTTATACATATATATATAGCGCTTTTCTGGACACTCCACTCAAAGCGCTTTACAGGTCATAGGGATCCCTTCCACCACCACCAATGTGCAGCCCCACCTGGATGATGTGACGGCAGCCATAGTGCACCAGTACTCTCCCCACACACCACCTCTCAGTGGGGAGGAGAACAGAGTGATGAAGCCAGTTCAGAGAGGGGGATTATTAGGAGGCCATGACTGATAAAGATCAGGGGGAAATGTGGCCAAGACACTTGGGTTAACACCCCTACCAGATTCGAGAAACACCCTGAGATATCTAATGACCACACAGAGTCAGGACCTCGGTTTTATGTCTCATGTGAAGGACGGCGCCTTTTTACAATAGAGGGTCCCCGTCACTATACTTTGGCATTAGGACCCACACAGACCACAGGGTGAGCGCCCCCTGCTCGCCCCACTAACACCTCTTCCAGCAGCAGCCTTAGCTTTCCCAGAAGTCTCCCATCCAGGTAATGACCAGGCTCACACCTGCTGAGCTTCTGTGGGCTTCCAGTCGTGAGGTGCAGGGTATTATGGCTGGTGTCAGTTATGACCCCCCTAAACTAAAGTCCTGCCAGAAATGTGGTCGCGCAAAGCAGCAAGCAGGGTGGCTGAATGTCACAAAACCACTCGCGCTGGAGATCAGCTGAGCCCTCGTCTCTGCCCTAGAGTAGAGGTTACTGAAGCAGCAGTCACACTGTATGTCTTGTTACCAGGAGGCAAGGTAGCTGTGGCCTGGCTTATCCCAGCTGTCTAGCTCCAGAAGATCAGCTTCTCTGCATTTCTTTGGTTTTGACTATTTGTGCATCTTAGCAGAATAGTGTCAACAGTTTTCAAAGAATGGCTTTGAACAACCAGTTTTTTTTTCCCTCTCTTAGATGATGATCATTCTCGGGGTGATATGTGCAATTATCCTCATCATCGTCATTGGTAAGAGTGCACTGTTTCTTGTACAGGGTGACAATGAGAGCAGAGGGACAGCAGTGGCT